TTACATCCAAATTTATTTATGCTGTATTTCGAATCAACGTCAGTATTATTTCGTTTTCTAAAATTGTCATCTACATAGTCAACGGAGACTGGTATATGTTGATTATGTTCATCATCAACTATATCATTCATGCGGCTAAAGCGTGCATTGAAATCGCCTACAATTAATATGTCGCCCAAGGAGGAAAATTTAGTTATGTCTTTTTCTAAATTTTGGAAAAGGTCTAAATCAATTTTTCTATAAATTGGCGAGTATTCTGGAGGGATATAGATACATCCAATAAACAAGTGTTTACTTGTTGTTAATATAGACTTGTCGATTTTGCACCAAAGAAAATTATTACAAGTGCCTTTAACTACACTGATGTGTTTTTTAAACCTGTGTTTAAATAGTACAGCAACACCTCCTCTTCTCCCTTTGTTGCTTTAAACGGTGAAATGGTAGCACTCATGCTGAATTTTGGAAATGGGGACAAAAGTGAAAAATATCTAGAAAAAAGGTATCTGATAAATCGAAAAAAAAAAAATATATTAAAAATACCTTAAAACTTTAGAGCTACTTGTTACTAGGAACAAAAAGTTTAAACTACTTAAAAAAAAATATATTAAAAAAAAAAAACACAAACAACTATGATATTATTAAAAAGAAGTGTGTTACCTAGTGTAACAATATAAAGTGAAAAAAGGTAGTATACATGTTTGGATGGTAACTTGAAAGCAATGATGAGATCACTGTACTGTACTATAATGTGACTGAGAATATTGACAACAAAATAACTTGCGTGCCGGCCAAGAAACCTTCTCCACTTAGTTTGTTCTCCAGATTCAAACCAAGAAATTGATACTGGCAGTATCAAGAGGTCCTTGCGATTTGTGGACATATTTAATGATTTACTGTAGTAGAGGTTTTTTGGCTGTAAACGACTCAATTTTACATTAAAAATGGCCATGTTCATAGATTTTCCTAAATTCTAAACAATGTTTATTTCATTATTAAAATGGAGCCGACCTACTCGATACAAGGTAACACCTAGTTTGTGGTATCCCATTTATTTATCTGCACACAAATTTCAAACTCACTCTCAGTCCTCAGTGTCAGTCCATCCAACAGATACAGCAATATCCGTTTTTTTCTTTTGATTCAAAGTCTCAACAATGAGTTTATTTACTATTTATGATCATATGACCAACTGAGGGTTGCGTCTGCATTAATATTGATTTTTATTTAGGGTCTGGCTTTCATGAAATATATATGTTGAAATGGTTTAGAATGATTCCTCTAGGAATATAATTAATATGTATTTTACTTTCGGAAAACCTCTACTACATCCTTGAGTTTTTTCAATCACATTACAATAACACACATGTGTATTTTGAAAATATCATGCAGCTCATGAAAATTAACAAATACAAATTTCATTACCTTCTTCTGCACATCTTCTCAAAACTGCATCAAAAATCTTGTCATATTCTTCATCACTGTATGATATGATAGGTAACTTCACTTTTGTTACATTTGTACCTTCTTTCTTTTTAGGACCCTCAGAAAGAATGAATATAAAGTATGTATTTTTCTTACTGAGATAATAAAAACATGTCTTTAAAAATATTTCCAGCCTCCTCTGTTCTTGTCCTTTAATATATGACGAATAAAATGCCATGATCTATATGCTCCCTTTTCAATAAATGCATTGATCTAGTTTGAATCAAATTGGTAATAATAATGTCTGATAAATAACTTCAGATATGCAAAACCATGAAAAAAATTACCACCTGCCAGCCATTTTTAGATGAAACGCAAAAAATAAACAGGACATACATCTGGCACCCAGCATATTAAACCATCATATCAAATTAAGACAGTTGATCATGTTCAAAAAGTTTCTATATTTGTGAATAAATATGGTTATATACATATATATATTGTTATAAATACATATCCATGAAATTTAAACTTGCTGAGAATGAACTTTAACACAAGATCTGGAATGAAACCAACATTTATGTTTTGTGATGATACATGTGTTGATATGTGTTTGTATATTTTTTCAGACCTCAATAAAAGAAATTTTTATACATTAGTACCGAAAACAATAGAATTTACCATACTATAAAAAGTTGTATCTAAATTTGTTCCAAAACTTAATTGCACTTTTACAAACATGTAAATTTCCCTTCTAATTTTCACCAACATTGAACATGTTTCAAATGTTTGCAAGTGACTGAAATACAATCCTGTCATTGAACGCAAAGATTTGCAGAGCAAAATTGGCTATTTGGCTGTTAAATATTATTAAATTATTACTACAAACAAACAAAAGATGTATAATAATAAGGTCACAAGTATACTGCAAAATATGCCATCAGGCAGTACAAGATCAAATCACCATACTACCTTCTTGCAAACTTTGTGGTATTCCTGTGATAACCTTATATTCAATGAATTCAATAATTCATTATAATTGAAGGAACTGCAACTTCTGTAAGATGACAAGTACAAATTTGAAATGGCAATCATAAATTTGAAATAAACTCATACTCGTTTTTTAGGTTTGCTTTCTTCAGACGCAGCAGGCTCTGTTACAGTTACATCTTCACCAGCTTTTTTCTGCTATTAAGAATACAGAAATACAGATTGAATTAATTGCCACCACATTGTACTGAACACCACAACAGCAACACTGGCAGCTAAGATGCTGACTGGTTTGCAATGTGTGCCTCAACTGAGAGAACTGATTATATCAAACCATTTTATGAGGGTGTGCTATTCTGCTAAATGCAAGCATTTACTGTAAAATCTGTATTAGAAGCTGCGGCTTCTATTAAAATGGTACAATGCAACAGAGGGGATGCAGCTTCTATTAGAGCATCTACACATATGAGAAATGATGAATTTTTGGTTCTCAATTGTACAAAAAGATTGGGTGCGACTTCTATTAGGGATGCGGCTTCTAATACAGATTTTACGGTACTAGCATTATGCCATTCACTAGACACACCAGCAACTGTCCTGACATGTCAGATTGTGTCAGAACATATATATGGATAACTTTGCCATTAAAAATTGTCATACAGCAATTAATTTATACAATCTGATGTAATATATTAAAAGGTAATTGCATCTTCCATTTATATTATATATATGTTTTAGGACTTCACTAATAGTTTGACATCTCCTGTTGAGGTGTGTTTAACTCAACTTGTTCCAATTGATCTCCAAACATGTATTGCAAATCAGTCAGAAATATTGCTAATTTGATGTCTTGAACAATATGACGGTGACAGTAAAACAGCTTGTCTTGAATATTCAGGTTCATGGTTTTTGAGTTGATAGAAAAACAATTCTGCTTGTATTATGGCTACCCAATCATTATTTTTCCTGCATTTACACAAGCTCCTAGCAAATTCCTAGCAAAAGGTTTCTTTTTTTTTATATAAAACTAATAAATATAATAAACTAATATCCTATAATACTGTTCACAGATAATTAAAATCAAATAAGAATTGGTTGGTGGTGGTGCAAGTAAATAAGAGTTAAATATCAAATGTTTACAAGGCATCAGTTTCACATACTTTTGGTGCAGTGAAGGATGATTTTAGCATCTTATCTTGATGATTAGTTTTCTTCATGCTTTTTTCAATTTTGTCATCTTTTTCCTTGCTGGGATTTTCATTTATTTCTTCTATATATTCCTCTTCTAGTGCCTTGTTCTCTTCAGAATCTATGTTATATATAGTTATATAGGCATAGAATATTAATAAATCTGACATCAGGGTTAGAACTTCATGAAGGCATAGAATTCCACAAATTCCCAAGGAGTTTCCCCTCAAAGTAACATACAAGCTAGTACATGTACAAGTATAGACCACATTAATTTTTGCCAGCCAAGGTTAATTCGCTACATAGTAATCATATTTTTGTCATTCAACCAATAAAGTGTTTAATAATATGTTCAGTGCAATTTGTTGTAGAGATACAAATTTACTGCTGTAAATCGCCCTGGGCCGTTGAACGGCAGTTTGGGTTTTAAAAAAAGTAAAATGGGACCAAGAAAAAGAAATTTTTCAGCATTTTTTTAACATGTTATTTTAATCTTTTCTGATGTCTAAAAGTTTCACTGTAGTCATTGACGCCTATTCAAGAGTAGGATGATTATTCTCAGACTAGTATACAAGTCTGAAGTTTATTGTGACTAGCTGCGTTCAATAACATTAACATATTTAAATGAGCTATGGTAATTTGAACACATAGGTATCATCAATCATTTTGATTGGTTAATAGGAGATTTGACCTATCAGGTCAAAGAACACCATCACAGGTCAAAACATATATTCGGAAATTCATTTCAACAGCATCAAGCATTTAAAATGCGACCGGAATCATTTGTTTAAGATGAAATAAAATTGAAATTTATTTGCATTTCATACAATTCATAACAATCAATACTAGGTAATAATCAACAATTGCGAAATAAAGCATGACCGGGTTGCTCTACCCCGATCATTTGCTACTAAGCAATTCAGTTGTGTTTGTTTTTATTTGAAACTTCTTTTAGAATATACTTTCGTTACTAATAAAATGAAAAAAAAAAATTTATTTGGCACACAAGGCTCGTTAATGTGACTTTATTTTGGAGAAAGATGTGCTTAGTGACACTGTAATGAAATTTTAGGCGTTCTACTTTTTAATCCAGCAAGAAAAAAATGTATAAAATTTTAGATTTTGGGTGGTTCAATTGTCGGCATTGAAAGTCGGCGTAGGTGGATTTTTCAATGAAAATATAAGTCCCCAAAAAATATTTGATGATCATTTTTTGAAATTTTGAACGCCAAATAAGGGCCCAGCAGCCGTGAAATCGCAAATTTATGGCAAAACCCGGTAATATGCAACTATACACATGTTGTTCTAAGAATCATATATCTGACATACAAGACAGTGCCACATTATATATTAAAATATAGCATACTATAATTTCAACTTACCTGAAACAACATTCCCAGGCATAGATGTATTACATTCAGACATTATCTAAAGGACATGTATAAATTGGCAGCTGGTAGAATACTGATATTTCTGGACCACTACCTATAAAGAAATTGTGGACATTTGTTCATGTCTTGTTCTGGAAAAATATTGCAACATTTTCAATTGCAAACTTATGTTCATGTATGTTTAATAAAAAGATTGTTCACTTTGATAAAATGTGAGTGATTTTATGCACTGAAATCCATCTGAATGCAGGTGACACCAGCATAAATTGGAGGAACTTGGCAGGTATTGCAAATACAATGGAAATGCCATGCAGTTCCATATATTTAATAGCTATAATATTTAGTGTGCATTTTGATGTAAGACCAAAAAAAAAATTGTTTTGTTGCCCTCAGCGAATATCAGGTCGCATGTTTGTTTGTTTTTTTTTGTGTTTTTTTTCAATAGATCCAAATATTAAAAACTCACCATTTTAAGCAGTAAAAAAGTGTTTCGTCTAAAAATTAACGATCCCGGACCGTTGTTTAATCCCCAGGGTCCCCGGAGGGGTTAGTGGCGACTTTGAACCTCGGGTAGATCTGTATTTAAATACAAAAGACTGAAAGAAACACTTTGATTTTTGTGTTTAATATATAGCATGCGTTATTTACAATACCCTTCGTTTTCATGAGTTTAAAAAAAAAAAAAAAAAAAATCCGACCGAGCCAATTTTCTAGCTTGAGGGCAACATAAGTTTGTTTTTTTGGGGGCCTAATGTGACTGCACCTGCAGTTCAGAATATTAATGCATAAACATCAGAATGATGTACTGGTAGTCACCTCAAATGAACATCCACTCTGATAAATTTAATGGTTATTGACCATTATTAGTAGTATAAAAATGTAGACCAAATATTTGTTACATACATATTGTACACATAATTACAGGACTGAAGAAATAGGTATAGAGTTGTAAACAAAATTCACATTACAATTTTCTGCCTCTAAACAATTGGGCGAAATGATGGGATTTATGGTGGAAAACATTGTATTATACAAACAAGTACCAGGGGTTTTCTAGGAAAAAAATTCAAGAGGGAGCACTGCAATTGAACAGCGCCACCAAGTGGGGGAGATAGGGTTCTGCCTACCAGGGTGTGGAGTTTTTGATAATTCTAAGTTAAAATGGAGCATTGCCATTCTATAGCTTCCTTGGGGCCAAAATTACTATCAGACATGTCACAGTTGAAAACTGTGGCCACATGTGATCTTGGGTCAATCAGAATTATATGGTTGCCAGAGGATCTGCTCCCCAGGGTAAGATGACGCATGACCATGGCATGAGGGAACTGTGCTCCGGCCTGTTCCCTTATTTATAAAAACCCTGAAGTACTGGATGATATATTCTGTGGATAACATGATATTGAAATTACCGTACAGTGTAGTCCAAGCATAACTCAACGTTTAGCTTTAAAGGAGGTTAAGTGAGTATTCAACCAATTAGATAAGGTCAAAACAATTAACATGTTTATTTGTCTTAAAAGCATTACATAATTATTAATTTAGACATGAATCATTTACTTTTAGGAATTTTTTTCCCAGTAAATAATACTTTTCTGGAGGAAACCAGTCTGAAAACATTAAAAAATAGGCTGTTTTGGAAATATTTTCATAGGAATTTGTGTTATTAAGCATTATTAATTTATTTCATGAACAAATAAATAGTATCCGTCAGAATTTCCCAATCATTCAGGACAACCATAAGGACCAATTTCATTAATTACTATTATCATTATGTACCTGAACACAATTTTGAGATATAACATGGAAACCAATAGTAAAAATAGCTCAAAAATAGCCAATTCATTGTGTGTTTCAAAAATTTTTTGTGCGAAAAGTAAAATTTAATTTCAGCGTAATTTCTCGCGCCCGCCGACTTGTAAGCGCAAAAAATTGCTAAAAAAATATTATTTTTACCGGGGTTCTTCATTTTTTACCGCCCACTGCATACCAAATCCAAGTTGCATTTTCATGTGAGTATCATGATCAAAGTACCGAAGTCTCGCGCAGATGAGAAACAAGGTTATACATGGAATAAAATTTTATTTCATTTCTTCTCTCCGATCAATAATTTCACTTTCAATTCTTTGAGAATCACACAAATTTAATGGAAAAAAAGAATTAATTTTATTTATTTTTCGCCCTCCTCAAAAAAATTGCCTTATAAAAACTCGAGAAACAAGGAATAAAAAAAGTCTGGCCTAAAAGTAAAAGAAATTCGGCTATAAGTTGTAATGGTAGCCAACTACCTTAAGCTAGTTTAAACCTTTCATCACCAGACTTTCTCTCCCATAATTTTCTACACTGTTTTCCAATCTTCTTCAATATTTCTGGAAATGAACCCTAATTTTAGAGTCAAGAGACAAAATTTGAGTTAACTTTCAGTTTTTACTCAAAAAATTTTTGTCTCAATAAATTTTGAAGAAAAAAGAGAATTGGTGGTGAAAGGGTTAAAGGTTACTGTAATACTGATCATGCTTTCAAAACTGCCACATATTGTAATTGTGAATCTAGTTTTCTACCTGAATATGTCTCATAATAATAACATGGATAAATACTATAAAGAATAAGTTGCAATGATACTTGCTTTAAAATTTATAAGTTTTTATGAAATCAAAGCCAGCTGATAGGCAGCTTGGAAGTTAAGTTGCAACCAGACTGTACTGAAGGGTCCATTTAAAAAAGTTAAAAGGCTGAAGGATTTAATGAAAAAAAGTTGATTATGGAAAAAAAATTACTATTACTGGAGAATGTGCAGATGACTGCATTATGAAAAATAATTGGGAAATGTGTAAATACAAAATTAATTTCAGTTAATGTAATATTTGCAGGGGAAAAAATCCTGAAGTACCGCATGGACAACCCCAACAAATGAAAAATCACCAGTTGTGAACTTTAGATATCATTTGTTATATAATAATTTAAATTTAAATGCCATTAATTGCCAAACTAGGTCTACCAGGAAAGCAATACATATAATTGCAATGGAATAAACCTAGTGAAAAGTGCATTTTATAAGCTGGCACTATGATCCCAAATGATCAAAAATGATCCCAATCAATAAACACAATGTTTATATCTAGAGATTAGAATAATAAAATATTCCAATTTTAGCTCCGAAATGACAGCATAAAATATATTATTTATAAAACATGAGCATGATGGATATATATATATATATATAGTATTTAGTTTCAGTTGGGAGTTTCAGTTGTCCTCACAACAAAGTAGACAAGTAAAATGTCAATAATTAAGTTGGAAACATTCAAATAATATGATAGAGATTTCTTTTGACACATTAATAATTACAAACCTGGGCAGTTATTTCACAGCCAGACCAAAAAAATGCAATGATTTCCAGTAAAATTAGGATGCACAACTTCCACATATGTAAAACAAGACAGCAGTTCTCGTAGTTGTCTGCTGCTGATGACGTCATTTGCGATTTCGTCTGCTGGTTAGTTCGCGCCATTTCATCGGACTTCCGACCGAGACAGGGACCATACTTGCATTGTCCAACTTCCAGGTGATAAACTTAATTCACCGACTACTTTAAATTTGTATATGCAATTGAAATAGTTTAAATTTATTGGTAATTCAAAATTAGGTAAATAGTATATGTTTTGCCAACGAAATTAATATAATATTGAAATAATGTACCCCAACTCGTTGAAAAAATGTTAATTTGTTTTACTTTACTTTGCTCCAGGGCCTTGATCCAACCTTACAGCGAGTTAACCGAGATCTGTCACATGCTGTCTGCGAACGCATAATCGCCATGGAATTCTCGTCTCTGTAAAAAATACGTGCACTAAATTTTGGAAATTGCGCAATCGGGATAGTATCAAAGTGGAGAAAAAAGACCGAATGTTTACTGTGGAGAAGCAAAGTTGCCATTTTGAATACGTAATCAGCCCCCAGAGTTCCTCACTCGACGCAAGCGCTCTGAAAATTCAGACGCAACTTGCACGTTGACACGATAGGATCTCCTCCTAATTATTGGCACATCACGCCTCTTTGGTCAGCAATATTTCAGCTATTTTCAGTATACTGGTTCATTTTGAAGTATCTCGACAATTTATTGAAGCAGTCCTGGATTATTTCGGCGTTTAAGGTGATTTTTTGTTAAAAACTATGCTCAGCCCTGTACACAAACCAAGGCTTTGCTAGTGGTCTGCCTCATGAATATTCAGTGTTATGATAATGAGATCGTCGTATGACCCCCTTTGCTGAACTTGTTTATGTTCTGCTGCAATAGCAGAACGTTTCTCTCAACTTCTCGATTTAATAGACATCGATTAACGGTTGTTTGAATTACACATACAGTAATGGCATCGGACGTTGAGCCGGGACCTGACAATGCCAGTTTCGTTGCTGGACCGATTATGACTAAAATCAGTCCCAGTCACGCAGATTTTGTTGCGGAGAACATCTCCTTTGCTCAACCAACTCAACCATTTGTAAGTATTGACAATACAGGTACAATGGGTATTAACTCCAGTGACGTCACATCAAGAAATGATTCGGTTATGAAAGATATTCAGCTTCTGGTACCAGAAGAAGGTAAACCAGTTCCTACAAGGAAGCGTCGTCATAGCAGCCACTATCCTGCCGGTAACCATAACAACAGTCCAAAATTTACCAGCCCACAGCATATTAAGAAAAGAAGAAAAACCGCTGCCATCACACAGCCCATGAAATTCCTTCTTGGTGGAAACAGTACAGACCCATTAAATTTGAATAGTTTAGTAACTGGCGACCCATGTGCGCCTGTGGTTTCTCCATATTGTTCGCCAGCACCACGTAATAAGGACCCAAATCCTTTTCTCTTTCCAAAAGATATTACAGATCCTTTAAATATTAAATCCGGAGATGACAAAGATAACAGTGATCCAACAACCGTGTTAGGGCCACCCAAATCCGGAGGTAAAAAGAAGAAAAGACACTCGCACAGAAAACGAAGTGATGTTGGTCTGCCACGAAAGGAGGGAAATATTGATTTGTCTAGTGATGGCAGCCTGAGCGAAGTCTTTGAGAAGGACGCAAATGATAAAGAGGTTGTATCACAGTCCGAGACAATGCCACGGCAAAGTCAGAGAAATGTAGACAAAATAGTTTCGCCAGTATTAGATGCATTTGATGATACATCTCCTAAATTAAGACGTAAAAGAAAAGATGCCAGTTCCAAAATCAGCCGAAGTTTGCTTCGAGGTGAGTCGGGTCAGAATGAACAAGAGGTGAATAGAACTAGTTGTAAATACAGACGACAACATAGCGGGGAAAATAAACTACTGCCAAAATGTCACTCCAAAGGAAAACTATTCCAGTATGGCAATTATAATCAATATTATGGTAAGAGAAACCCTGAACAAGAAGATTGTAGACTAAAGTGTTTTTGTACAGAGTGGTTCAGGGGAAAAGATGTATTAGATATTGGATGCAATATTGGTCATGTGACTCTAACAATTGCCAAGGACTTTGAGCCGCGCAAAATTACTGGAATTGATATAGATGGAAACCTGATAAGTATTGCCAGGAAAAATATTAGACATTACCTCTCTCCAGCTTGGTCTTTTATGGGTCAGAAGTTTCCCATATCTATGGATAGATGCCATGGACCTATAGCTGCCCCACCTATCCCACAAAGTGGAATGGACCACACTCCAAGGTTTCCAAACAATGTGATGTTCAGATGTGTAAGTAAACAATGTTTTTGTTAATGAATTTATCCAATATAACCTAAGGTTCAACCTAATTATATCTTGCACCAAAATAATTATATTTGTTTTATATTTATACTCTGATAAAAACAACATTTTGCACTAGCTTTAGCCAGAAAATTTAAATGAGCCCATCCAAAAAGAATGAAGAGAAAATTTACAATAAAAATGTAACTTTGAATGCCATGAATTTGGTAAATTTGTTTCTACAAATTTTGAAGAATTTTTCCATAATTTTTTTCAGGGTTGTCCCCAGACCCTGAGAGTAGTAGCCCCACTAGTCTCGAATGTTGAGCAACAATGAACACAATATAGGCAATTAATGCAATATTGTTATGAAAATTATCCATTAATCTGAGCATTTTTTGAAATACCGGTAGTCATTGTTTACCATTTAAAATTTGTGGGGGGAAAAATTGTGGTTTATTTTGTGAAAAGTAACAAAGTGTTCAACAAATTAAACTATCTATGTATTGCTATAATCGGAAGAACTAATGAAAACTATGAAAAATAGTTTTGCCAGTGTGAAAATTGACAGCTGATTGGTGGCTGGCTGGCTGAAACACTGGCATTTTAATACACATGCAAAAAACTGTATGCCTTCAGATTTGCAGAACCCAAAAAAAGGATTACAAGAAGGATTATTTGGGGAGGGTAATTTTCAATTATATTTCGTACATGAGTACCAGCTCATGGCTATAAATAGTTAACCAGAAGTTATACCAATTAAGGTCAGTAAATGAAAATAGTCATTTATCAATAGTCATTTGTGCAGCCACAATATTACTATAATGCATCTAGCATCATGGTTATCAAAGGTATTTTTTAGGGCTTCAATAAATTTATTACAAATGCTTCCAGATCTAGCTTTGTTTGACAAATGTCTATTTCTTCGCTCTTGGTCAACCCAATGGTACATCTCCAACCTAGTCACCCAATCAAAAATGATGGTACATCTCAATCCCATCAAAAATAATGGTACATCTCAATCCCATCAAAAATAATGGTATATCTCAACCCCATCAAAAATAATGGTACATCTCCAGCCTTGTCACCCCTTCAAAAATAATGGTATATCTCAATCCCATAAAAAATAATGGTACATCTCAAACCTAGTCACCCCATAAAAAATAATGGTACAACTCAAACCCATAAAAAAATAATGGTATATCTCAACCCATCAAAAATAATGGTACATCTCCAACCTTGTCACCCCTTAAAAAATAATGGTATATCTCCAACCTAGTCTCAGTGCCCCCATACAAAAAGGTATATTTACCCCATCAGAAATAGTGGTTTATCTCCAACCTAGCTGCCTGCCCCTAACAGAAATAGTCGCCCCCTTCAGAAATAATGGTATATATCAAACCTTTCCACCCCATCTGAAATAATGCAGGACTTGCAAGTCACTGAGGCCAATTGCTTGAATGTTCCTTCTGAATGCCTTGACCTCTTCAATACATTCTTCACAATTTCAATCAATTTTAGAAATGTTTGCCTTGAAATTCAGTGTCTTGAAGTTCAAGTCTGGATAATCCTACATATCCAATGTTGCCACCTTGTCAAAAATAATGGTACATCTCCAAAAGCATATAGGGTCAACAAGAATTGCATCAGTCATTGGAACACAGTTTACAGCTCTGTGGGCTCGCATAATTCAAGACAACCTTAGTCCTAAAATTCTTAAAAGATTTACCATTATATATGTACTTGCGCAGTATTATGACTAAGGCAAATGAAAAGTGTTTCCTGTAATCTTAAATTTTGCATGCCAACCCTGTATCTGTTTATGGCTGATCTGGAAAGTGAACACTGGAGGGTGCTCATTTCTTGTCTCTAGCTAAATGCTAGATGCTAATTTCACACCAAAATATCTGCCTGTACACACCAAAATATCTGCCTGTACACACCAAAATATCTGCCTGTACATATACATTCACATTCATTTGAAAATTGCTACTGTACACTATGAAACAACTTGCCCAGCAGGATCTTGTTGAAAACCATTTCAAGATAAAAAGTAAATACATGTACCTACCTACATTGTACCGACCCTACTTTTTTTTCAATATTATCTGAAACGTACTATTCATAAAATATTTGGCATTTTTTGTTGTTGCATTATCGTACTTGTTTTACTCGTTGTTACACTGAGAGAATCTGTCTATATTAATTATCTCTGAATAATTTTAGCATTGATGTCATTAACATATCAATAGTTCTGAAACTTTCTTTTATCCTCAGTATCCATAGTTTTAAGTACATGTACTATGAAAAGGTTATAGCATGGTGACCTATATACAGTGACACAATTATAGTCATTGGGCTTTCCGCTTTTGTATTATGCCATGAATCGAACATCTTAATGACTATGCTTGACATGCACATTGTGTATGCATGCAAAGTTTGTTGATAGTCAAAACAAATTATACCACCTACGCAAATACTAAATACTAAGCAGTGACGCCCATGTACCACATTACGTCATATAGAACATGCCATTTGATATTAGGGATTACTCTGCATATTCTAGTTCAAATCAAGATCCACAAGGACTTTTTATCACACTTGTATCATGGTACAGACTTTACTGGTTACCTTTTTGATTTGTGGGTATTCTCATTAACCATGTAAATTTATTCCGACATCACAATAAATAGGGCGGTTGCACTTTCATCTTTGTGGCAACTATAAGTCAATACAGTGCACGAGGAAAACCTACAGCTGTCATCCATTGTTTGAGAAATTAGCATATTCAGATTAGCACACCCACTGACTGCAGGAGCAAAATTTAGGCAAAATTTCCAGACTGTTGGGGAGAGGACCCTTGAACCTACAACCTGGTTATTACTAACATCCCTCCCCTTTTTGTATGCTTTACTGTGTTTAAGCCACTTAGTTCTCCTGCTCTGATAGTTTTATATACTGTGGAATACTTTATTTTTGCTGGAATTAATTTTCGCTGAAAAGGCTTTATAGGTGTTTTGTATGGAGTTTATTTTCACTGATTTTTGACGAGTTTAATGTGAAATATAAGAAAAAAAGTATATTCGCTGGATTTTATTTTCACGGAATCATCCCTTCAGCAAAAATAGCGAAAATAACTTCCAAGCGAAAATAAAGTATTCTACAGTAAATCATTGTTATGATGGTTATAATATTTGAACAAGTGTAATGCATGAATGGTTTATGTGCCCCAGGGTGCAGACACTATTTACCCAACATATATACCAAACAGAAATTTGTCTTCATAAATGCCAACAGATATTTGTCTTGGTGGGATTTTAAATTGTGGCTCTGGGTACAGGTATGTATAAAAAGAAACATGGTGACCAGATTTCACTATGCAAATCATACTAGATGTGACACATTTGGTCAGAGTATGCTGCAAAGTCGTTCAAATCACAAATTTCTTGTTTACATTTTGTAGCGCTGGAATGAATAGACTGTTTCAGCCAAGGTAATTACCTCCTCTGTATGCGAAGCCCTGAGATACCTTGGGATATCATGCATGCATGATCACTTTTGGGGGCCATGTCATCGTATAACTATTATGGAATTTAATTTTTCAGATATTTTCATATTAAACACCAGTGATTGCTTATTTGTATTCACATGGAAGCTCTGCATAGTTTAACTTTTATTTATTTATTTGATTTCATAGAAGGGGTCATAGAAATCGGGTGGTTATGTTTGTGCTTTTAAGGTTAATGCCTAGAGATTTATCACCAATAAATGGTAAAGATAAACCTGCATTGTTCCATTTTTTTATGTTTATGATTGTATGTATTGCACAAGCTGGTGCTTCTTTGTTGACAGTATCTAATCATTCGTTTCATCTTTGGAATAATGCATCTTGGGATAGAAAATGAAAATAAAATAATAATGTTGCTGTCACCACCATATTATTCTGCAATACCAAAGCAGGAGCATTGCCAACCAACGGTTTGATCTAACACATTCTAATGGCATAAATATCTTGAGACACACATAGCAAGCAAATGAGCAACTAGCCTGGCTATATTGTCGTAGTCTAACAGGGAATATGTATTAATGGTTAGTTTGTAAATATTCTCTATTTTTCACATAACTATCATTTAGTTTGCAATATCATTTGATACGGTACATTAAATGTCACGATAGTTGCATTACTTGTTCGAACAAGACGTGGAGCGAAAACAAATTGCAGAACCATTTGTATCACTGATATGTGAATTTCAGGCTCGATACAATTATCGTATGATGTATTGACAATAACTTGTAATAATGCTGAAATAATATTGGTAGTGTTTCTGTCGGTTAAAAACCAATGGCATTTATAACTGCAAAAACACGTCTACCATTACATGTATGCTTATTACTATATTAGATGCAATACCTTATTTGCATAAATTAATGTGTTTTTTGAGCGTGCAAAATGTCTTTTTGATGTGTTGGGCTTGTATTGATAATAATAGTAGTATACTTGTATTGATAATTCCTGACATCACTTGCATGGACAAGCTCTATGAACAAAGTCATACATGTATCGGGTGATAATCCCATAAAGTTACTAAACAATTAACTTCATCAAGCATCCCGTCATTTTAATTTCAGCTTTCTGAAAATGTATTTATTGCTGACCTTGTTGAGCAGTGAAAATTGATTACAGACATTGAATTGTTGCAAATTGTTTTGAAATACTGAATGACATAATTTGACAAGCAAACTCTCTAAATGTTGAATTTGTGCTCCATCAGATGGTCCTCCAAATCAGCTCTGATTGAAACAACGTTCTACGAGATCAATTCATAAAAATAAAATATTGTCCAGTTACTGTATTGGTTCTATTAGTAGGACAGTATGCAAAATTCAGATGTACATTTGTTGAGTAAATATGTGATGAGTGTAAATATTTGCATGTGCATGCCAGTGGTGCCCATAATTCAATAATAGTCACCTGACTACTGTGCAGACATTTGATAGTTAACATAGTT